CGGGATCGCCTGTAGCAGCAAAGACACCGCTCTCTGCTCCAACAAAACATGCACAGTTTGAACCACTTTGAGCCCTTCCAGCTCAGCCTTGATGCCCAACCTTTCCAGCGGAGAAACACTCAACCATTTGCCATACGCTTGATATGCCTTTGAGTAGACGCATTGCCACCACACTCTTCCTGTATCTGTCAGTGAAGACAACATTGGTTCGATCATTGCGATCCAATCACCCAGTGCCGTCGGATTGCTTGGTGTGTAGTCTGCCAAAGTTGGAAGGCTCATCACATGCTTCCCGAGAGCCTCCGGACGTTCGGTTCCAGAACTATCACCAGTGATTGGCATACCACGTGGCACCACTGCTCCAGGAGGTAAACTGACCCTACCACCAGGCCCTTGAGGTAGTCCATGTCCTATACCGGGCGCAACAGCTGTGAGCGGAACCTTTTCTAATTCCAACTTCCCAGCAACCATTTTCCACCGATACGGAACATCATCCACCATTGTATATCCACCCGATCCTGCTGAGTTCTCTTGAGTTGCAGTTTCCCGAGCTGAAACAAAACCGGGCTGGTTCCCCACAGGTGCGGCAGAACCATCAACACCTGACGGCACGGAAGTAATCGGAACATGTGTTAAACCAGGCGGTCCACTTGCATATCCACCACTTGCAGGACCTCCCGTGGGGTAATTCAATGGAGGCAATCTGGAGGGTTTCTTCCCTTCAGCTACATGCATCATTGGCACTTCTTTTTCATCCTCCACTTGAACATCCCCCTTCCTGGACCCAGGCAAGGATTGAAGATCACAACCCTTTGGCAGGTCGTAGCCCTCAATAGGCAGCCATGTCCCATCAGGCAACACAGTCCAAAAACCACCCATACCATCCGTGTAGAAAACTTGTCCTGGCAGGTACTGCTTCTCTGGAGTCATTCCTAGAGGATATGCCGTGTTTGCGTCCACCACTCCAGAGCTCCGTGCCCTTGAAGCTGACCCAGATGCAGCAGAGGTATAGCTTTTCTCCTCCACCCGATGCAACCTGTTCCCCAGCTCCTTTGTTTGCACAAGCAACTCTTTCAGCGCACGCTTCACCACCGCCATATCTTCAGTTTGCTCTTCACCACTAACATCAGGAATGAGTTCTTCGTCGGCTTGCACTCCACCAATAGTACCTCGTTCCATTTGTCCCATTAAGCCTGACGATGGTCTCTCAACAGGTGCAGGTTCCTGACCCAAAAGATCTTGCAGCGAAGGCGGTCTCCTCGTACCTTCACCACTCCTATCCCCTCCGCTCGCGGGAAGACTTGCCGGCCTTGACTGCCTAAGTCTCATTTCTTCTTGAGCCCGCTCGCTCCAGAAAGGATTTGCTGCTTGAACCGGAACCACTTCGTTTTCCACCTGAGGCGTTGGTTGTATCATTGCAACCTCCCTACCATCTGTCAGTGCTTGTACCATTTGTTGTCGATCTTCACCCCCATCACCACGATTTCCTTCGGCTTCATTGGCCGTTGGCGACAGTCCAGGCTCAGAGCGACGCCGCATCATGTCCATGGCGTTAAACAAACGAAAAATCTTTACCAATTCCGCAGGAAGCCTAAGTTGGGCTCATAACCTACGGGGGGCAACCGAAGGAGGACAGGGAACAAAACAGTCAGCCCCAACAGAAGCCCTTGATTCCCCTGGAACAACCGAAGACAAAACCCAAAGCACAACCAAACACACCTTTTCCGTAGGGCGCATTGCCCACGTTTCTTGAGCCAAAAATATCCGGGTTCATTGACCCCTTCAACTCTCATCACCAACTCTTTTCTACAATACCAGTTGCAGCTCCGCACCCTAAACCCTAAACCCTAAGCCCTAAAACCTAAACCCTAAACCCTAAACCCTAAACCCTAAACCCTAAACCCTAAACCCTAAACCCTAAACCCTAAACCCTAAACCCTAAACCCTAAACCCTAAACCCTAAACCCTAAACCCTAAACTAAACCCTGGGCAAGCGGAGCCTTGCCGCCTGCAGCCTGCGGCACCTTTCGGCCGGCTCAAGGAAGTCGGGTTGCAGAGGTTTTGAGGCCTAGAAGGGCCAGGAAATGGAAACAAAGATGTTTAGGCTTTAGGGTTTAGGGTTTAGGGTTGAGGGTTGAGGGTTGAGGGTTTAGGGTTTAGGGTTTAGGGTTTAGGGTTTAGGGTTTAGGGTTTAGAGTTTAGGGTTTAGGGTTTAGGGTTTAGGGTTTCGGGTTTAGGGTTTAGGGTTTAGGGTTTAGGGTTTAGGGTTTAGGGTTTCGGAAACAAAGATGCCCAAGATGCAGCGTTCGAGCATCTGGCTCAAGCTGGTGAGTCGGCTTAGAGTGGACGCTTTGAGTTTCAAACTTCGGGGTTGCGGGCTCAGGGTTTAGGGTTTAGGGTTTAGGGTTCAGGGTTCAGGGTTTAGGGTTTAGGGTTTAGGGTTTAGGGTTTAGGGTTCAGAGGTTTTAAGGTTCGGGGCGTCGGCTCGGGAGGACGTCGGGAAGGCGGGTTTTGTCGTAGGGGCGGTGGTCTGAAGAACGTCCGTAGGAGCTTCGCTGAACTCAGTGCACTTATTCTACGTTGGCGCGGGTCTGTGCAGGAGCAACACCCGCAAAAGCAGACAGGCACCAAACCTGAACCCCTTCAGCAAGGTACCTCACTTACCCTGGACAAGCTCCCTGCGACCACCCGGCCCTGAGACCACAACACTGATGGCCGCATCTCCATTTTTGGGGGGTTCATGGATGCCTTGCACTGGCGCTGCGCGTGCGGTTTAAATGACACCAACGGCTTCGCCGTGTCAGAGAAGGTGATACTCAACACCTTCACCGCACTGGAGCTTTGCGATAGGATAACCTTGTCCCCTGAAGTGAGAATACGCTCCATTTGGAGGCCGGTAAGTGGCAAATGTTGAGAAGCAACAATCATCCAGAGATATCAGTCCATCCCGACGGTGAGAAGGCCCACCACCATCGTGAAAAAAAGTGATGACGGTTGAATACAAAAGAACACTAAACACTGCCAGAAATGATGAAATCCTGAAAGCACAAGTGCTGCAGGCTCGGAGGGAAAGTAACACCTTCCAGGCTTTGGTCGAAAGAGTCGCCAAAGGTCAAGGTCTGCAGGCTGCTCGGCAAGGTCAATCCTTCCAAGCTCTGGTTGAACTCGTTGCCGAAAATCAAAGTCTGCAGGCTGCTTGGCAAGGCGATGCCTTCCAAGCTCTGGTTGAACGAGTTGCCGAAGGTCAGAGTCTGCAGACTGCTTGGCAAGGCGATACCTTCCAAGCTCTGGTTAAAGCACTCGCCGAAGGTCAAAGTCTGAAGGCTGTCCGGCAAGGTGACACCTTTTAAGCTCTGGTTAAAGTCATAGCCGAGGGTTAAAGTCTGAAGGCTGCTGGGCAAAGTCACACCTTTCAAGCTCTTGTCAAAGTCCACGCCAAAGGTCAAAGTCTGCAGGCTGCTTGGCAAAGTGACACATGCCAAGCTCCGGTCGAAACAGTTACCGAAAGTTAACGTCTGCAGGGTGCTTGGAAAGGCGACACATTCCAAGCTCTGGTTAAACTCCTGGCCGAAGGTCAAGTTCTGAAGGCTGCTTGGCAACGTGACACCGTCCAAGCTCTGGTTAAACTCCTCGCTCAAGGAAAACCTCTGCAGGCTGCTTGGCAAAGAGACAGCTTCTAGGCTTTGCTTGAAAGCGAAGCCGAAGGTCAAGGCCTGCAGACTACTTGGCAAGGCGACACCTTCCAAGCTCTGGTCAAAATTCTCGCCGAAATTCAAAGTCCGTAGGCTGTTTGGCAAGGTGACACCGTCCAAGCTCTGATTAAAGTCACGGCCGAGGGTCAAAGTCTCCAGGCTGCTTGGCAGGGCGACACCTTTCAAGCTCTGGTCGAAACAGCCGCCGAAGGTCAAAGTCTGCAAACTGCTTGGCAAGGCGACACCTTGCAAGCTCTGGTTAAAGCCCTCGCCGAAGGTCAAAGTCTGAAGGCTGTTTGGCAAGGTGAGGCCTTCCAAGCTACGGTTAAAGTTCTCGCCGAAAGTCAAACTCTGAAGGCTGCTTGGCAAGGTGTCAACTTGGACCAAGGTCGCGTCGAACTCGTTGCCGAAAATCAAAGTCTGCAGGCTGCTTGGAAAGGCGACACCTTCCAAGCCCTGGCTGAACGAGTTGCCGAAGGTCAGAACCTGCAAACTGCTTGGCAAGGCGATGCCTTCCAAGCTCTGATTATAGTTCTCGCCGAAGGTCAAAGTCTGAAGGCTGTTTGGCAAGGTGACGCCTTTTAAGCTCTGGTTAAAGTCATGGCCGAGGGTTAACGTCTGAAGGCTGCTGGGCAAAGTGACACATGCCAAGCTCCGGTCGAAACTGTGGCCGAAAGTCAAAGTCTGCAGGGTGCTTGGAAAGGTCACGCCTTCCAAGCTCTGGTTGAAAGAGCAGCTGAAGTTCAAAGTATGCAAACGGATTGGCAAGGCGACACCTTGCAAGCTCTGGTTGAAGTCCTCGCCGAAAGTCAAAGTCTGAAGGCTGTTTGGCAACGTGACACCGTCCAGGCTCTGGTTAAAGTCATGGCCGAAGGTCAAAGTCTCCAAGCTGCTTGGCAAGGAAACACGTTTCAAGCTCTGGTCGAAACAGTAGCCGAAGGCCAAAGTCCGCAAATTGCTTGGCAAGGTGACGCTTTCCAAGCTCTGGTCAAAGTCCTCCCCGAAGGTCAAAGTCTGAAGGCTGTTTGGCAAGGCGACACCCTCCAAGCTCTGGTCGAACATATAGCCGAAGGTCAAGGTCTGCAGGCTGCTTGGCAAAGACAAGCCCCTGAGACTTTGGTTAAAGTCAGATCGATCCACAAATGTCAAAGTCTGCAGGCTGCTTGGCAAATGAACATCTTTCAAGGTCTGGTTGAAACGGGCGCCGAAGGTCAGTGCCTGCAAGCTACCTGAAAAGGTGACACCTTCCAAGCTCTGGTCGAACACCGTGGAGAACATCAACGACACAATCCCATCAACGGCCGTCGCCTCGCCTTTCAAGGCTCGCTGCAGGCTCACTGCTGCGTCTCCAGCGGACACCCTCCTGGCCACGAAAGTCACCTCTTCGCCAGTCAGCTGCTGTAGCAGCGGCTTGGTATCGTCGAGGACGTGACAGCCGGAGGTCAACACCATACTTCGCCCAGAACTCGTCACGCCACTTTTTTCTGCAATGATTCTTGACAGATCATGAACCTCGGATGAGCTTGAAGGGTGCAACCGAAGGACGCTGTTCTCAAACGGCTGCCTTCGTATCTCGCCGACAGCCCGAACAATCTTACCACTCAACAATAGTCCAGGCCACGGTGGTGGCATCCTCCACGGAAATGTGAAACGTTGAGCCATCCATGCCATGGATACTCAACTTGCCTAGGATGGCCCGTAAAAAACCCTCTGAAAATATTCCTAGACATGATCCTCTTAAACCCAAAAAGGGAGAAAGATAAAATATCCCAAGGGCCTGTCTTGTTGCGTCTGGGCGTACTGCCTTCAGCAAGCTCCGCTTCCGTCTTTGATGGTTGCGATGTCTCTCCACGCTCTGCTGCTTCTTCTGCACACCTTGCTTCTGCCAGTGGCCTCGGTCTTTGATTCGATAGATCTTCTGAAATTACACCTGCTACCCCTGGCGGACTGCCTGCAAGGATGGGTTCCTTGGTAGAGATTTTGATGACACATTGGGAGTTTGGGGGGAGAGAGGGCGAGGGGGGGGGGGGCGTATTCAATTCAGCACACCCTTGATCTGACCTGATGCACTCTTGGGTGGGTCGGTGAGACGCAGAAGTTTGTGTACACCAATGTCTCATGAAACAGCCTGCGCGCCTGTCTATTCAAGATCTGACAGATTCATGGTGAACTACGAACGCCAGGACGGCCGCTTCAATGATGGTCAGCCACACGCCCTCGCTCAGGCCCAGATGGCTCAGGCGCAAATCGGCCGAGCCACATAAGCCGCTCCGCTTGGCGCAGCAGCCGTTGGGCACTTCTCACATCTTGGCAAAGAACGCTCAGCAGCGCCTCATCGTCGGGAACCTCGGCGAGTAAGGCGGACGCGCTGACACGTGAGGCACTCGAGGCACCGGCGCCCATGGCGGGGCTGCAGGCGCACAGCCGGGGGCGGGGTGGAGAGGGGGCAGGGGCGGAATCTGTCCAAATGGGATTGATTTCCTTGATCATTGCAGCTGGGTCTGCCACTTTACAGCATCTTTGTGCTGGAATCCACCGTTTGGCGTTAGGGTTCGACCCGGAAAGCTGCGGCCAAGTTCCTGCTCTGGGGATCATGACGTAGGGACTGCAGCATACTGTCAACCCCAAACTCTGCACCTGAAGCACTGCTTAAGCTCGGCCCCGCGCTTTGTCCGCCAGCTCCTTGAGGCAGACAGAGGTGTAAGAGAACAAAAACGTTGTGAGGGCTCAGGTGGAAAGGAAACACCCGCTAAACCCTAAACCCTAAACCCTAAACCCTAAACCCCAAACCCCAAACCCTAAACCCTAAACCCCCTTGATAAACTGCTGGCTCTGAGTAGCTTTCGCCTGAACCTTCAACCCACGAAAGCACCCCGAAGCCTCGCGGAAGATCTTGGATTGCGGAGGCATCGCCAGGGTTTTAGGGTTTAGGGTTTAGGGTTTCGGGTTTACGGTTTAGGGTTTAGGATTTAGGGTTTAGGGTTTGGGGTTTTGGGGTTTAGGGTTTAGGGCTTCGGGTTTAGGGTTTAGGGTTTAGGGTTACCCTTGATTGTCCGCCTGCCTACATTTCTCGTCGCGCAAGGCGACCGCCAAGTTATGCTGCCTTCAGGAGGCTCCGTTGGCTTTGTCATCACACCATCAAGCTTCCCATGTGGGTATCCGAAAAATGAGGTACCCATTGGGGGGCTGTCATAAAGATTCGACTATACTAGCGACGGTTAGGGGTCCCCGAGTTTGGGAAAAATCCACATGTACAGCAAGAGAGAAGGCTCGAGACAGTTGCTTCTGTATCTTGACAGCCAGAATTGAATGCTCGATGGTCCTGCGAAGTCAGGTTGGCGTCGCTGAGGAGTCCGGCATATGCCTCAGAAGAACTGACCAGAGAAGGAGGGGAGGCGTGACGGGTGAGGAGCCGGACGTTTGCTAGTGGGGCTTGTCTAGAAGAATGTCCGAAATCTCGCTTCGATTCGACTCCAAATTCCTGAGACCGGTTTGTCAGACCGAGGATGAATCTTTGGGAAAAGTATTGCTGACTCGAGCTAGGTTGTGAGTCGGAGCCGCTTCGGAAGCGCGATATCTTGCAGCCTGCTAAAAGCACATCCAGAGCGACTTGGACCCGAGCAACAGTAGAAGGTCCGTCGTTGCTGAAACAGGGGTTCCTTGATTCGGAAATTTGGCTTCTAAATATTGGCGTCTGAACAAGTACGACATGCGCATGCGCATGCATGCGCGCGTAGTCGTGTCCTAACACAACAAGACGTAGGCTGGGTGTTGTTTTTCAGGGCTGACGCACGAAGCCTGCACATCAACTGACCCTGAAAAGCTTGCAAGGGGAGGCACGTGACCGCATGCTCCTTCCCTAAACCCTAAACCCTAAACCCTAAACCCTAAACCCTAAACCCCAAACCCTAAACCCTAAACCCTAAACGATGCTTAGCGCGGAACATTGGTGGCTGAATGGGCTGCCGCAGTGACACATGCGCATGCGCGCACCAGCCATGGCCGGCATGGGAAGTCCGGCTCTGCGCACTCAAGAACCCTAAACCCTAAACCCTAAACCCTAAACCCTAAACCCTAAACCCTAAACCCTAAACCCTAAACCCTAAACCCTAAACCTATCTCTGCTTAGCAAGGCTGTGTAACTCCTGCCTCTTTTCCTAATTGTTCTTGGAATGCGCCCATGAAGCGTCGACATTGGATGTGTTCAGGGTGAGCTCTTGGAATGCTCTGGGACTTCTCTTGAAAAATGTTCGTCGCGTGCCTGAGGAACTCTGGGGGTGATGTCGTTCTCTTGGAGTCTTGGAGTGCTCTTTCGTGTTTTATCATGGTCTTTCACTGTTTGGGGCCTACGCCGGCATAATAGCTACACTATTCCTGCTCACCCCTATCATTCTTGTGTGAAACAGCTTCCTGCGGGCAAGATCCTCATTCATTTACGCGAGTGTAACTGACATGCCCATGGGGAAGGAGAATTCTGCTTGTCCGACTCCATCCTAGTCTGCCCATCCTTGAGACTGACCTGAGCGGATGATCTGCCCCCAGTGCCCTCAAATGTGCCGTGGGGACTCCTTGAAGGCTCTCCGGCTTCCCCTGTGCAGGCAACTCTTTTCCAGAAGCCCCCAAGGCACGCGCTCCTGTTTCGCCTGCCTAACCAGCTCAGAGAAGAGAGGGCTTCATCTGGTGCTGGACCGCTGCAAGCAACTCCTGGGAGCACTTGCCCTCTTGTGGCTTCGCAGCTCTAAACCCTAAACCCTAAACCCTAAACCCTAAACCCTAAACCCTAAACCCTAAACCCTAAACCCTAAACCCTAAACCCTAAACCCTAAACCCGGATTCCGGACAAGACCAGGTGTAGTTGCCACATATCACATCCCTGCCTATTCAAAAAAAAACAGCTGTCGCACGGCAAAGCGAGACTCGGCCGGCAAAGGAAGATGCAAGAATGCGATACCAACACTGCAGCTACTACAGTGAACTTCAGAAGGTCGGAACATTGTTTGAGGATGATTAGAGCTGGGATTCCCTTTAGTATACCTTTTGGGGTGTGGGGATAAGGATGTTCCAACTCTTTTGGAGTTTACTGTGATGAGGATGTAGCAGGGCTAGTGCTATCCAACTGCTGCCGCTGCCAATCACTGTACGACGGATCCGAAACCCTAAGCCCTAAACCCTAAACCATTAAACCCTAAACCCTAAACCCTAAACCCTAAACCCTACTCTTCAGTCCGTCGAAGCTAGACGCCCCTGCGCCTGAACATGTGGCTTAGCCCTGAAGCCCTCAGCCCGAACACCAAAGCCAACTTCCCCCGGCCTCAGCGGCCTGCCTTGGGTTCACAGGTTTCGAGGGTTAGAATTCAGGCTTCAGGGTTCAGGATTTAGGGTTTAGGGTTTAGGATTTAGGGTTTAGGGTTTAGGGTTTAGGGAAGTTCAGGGTTGCAGGGCTTCGGATTTCGGGTGGAGTGCCAGGGTTTCGCGTGCGGGGATTAGGTTGCATTGTAGACTCGGGCCTTCGCGTTGAGAGGCGTGCGCTTACCAGACGCGGGTGCTGATCTAAAGTCCCGACGTTCGCGAAATTTACGCGCGCGCGCGCGCGCGCGCGCGTCTGACGGGTTTAGGGTTTAGGGTTCAGGGCTTAGGGCTTAGGGCTTGGGGCTTAGGGATCAGGAACAACTTTGACCAGCATCAGCCCCTGTGCAAGCCCTTTTGAGCAGCGAGTTGCTTTGTATGAGAGGGAAAGAAGAGAATCGGCGGGATCAGCCGCCCCTCAGCAGCCTCCATTCGCCCCCTCCCCCGCCTCTCCCCCACACGAGAACATGCCAGAAACAGCAGACTTTCGATGGGCATTGCAATTTCATGCCACATGGCGGTAAATGTCCCAACTTCCCTGTGCACTTGCACTCTCTCTCTCTCTCTCTCTCTCTCTCTTGCGGCAGGCCGGCTTTCAAGCTCAGATACGATTAATTTACTCTTGGATTTTGAGAGTTGGACTTCTTCCTGAAAGCTGTGGGGCGGGACAGAATCCTCAAGATCCCACACTCGGCGCAAAAATAAACACAACACCCCCTGGCAGTCTAGAAGAAGAAGGTGCTGACAGATGCAGTATATATGCTGGGTTACGTAAGGGCTCTCAGCCAAAAAACCTGTCGCGGCACCATCGCGGAACGTTCGCGAAAGTGAAAAAGACACAGGCGCCTGGAACTTGAACCCCAAACCCAGTGCCCAGAGCCCTTTATGGTTTATAGGGTTTAGGGCTTAGGGTTTAGGGCTTAGGGTTTAGGGCTTAGGCCCTGAAGCCCTGAGAGTCTGAAGAACACAGAGCCATAAGCCCCCTAAACCCTAAACCCTAAACCCTAAACCCTAAACCCTAAACCCTAAACCCTGAACCCTAAACCCTAAACCCTAAACCCTAAACCCCCCGAAATCCTCAGTGCCGCCAGGTACCTTCGCGGTTATCGCGAGGGCATCAGGCTTCAGGCTGATGATTAGATCCTCCCCGCTTTTTGGAAAAGGGGTTTAGGGTTTAGGGTTTGGGGTTTGGGGTTAGGATTTAGGGTTTAGGGTTTGGGGTTTAGGGTTTGGGGTTCGGGGTTCGGGGTTTGGATTTGGGGTTTGGGGTTTAGGGTGGTTTAGGGTGGTTTAGGGTTTAGGGTTTTAAGGGCTTTGGGCTTTCGGGGTTAGGAGTTCTGGGTTACTGTGTGTGTGTGTGTGTGTGTGTGTGCATCTCCTTTTGGCCGATCATCCGCCAGTGCTTTGGAAGCGGGTCAAACAAATCCTTGGCAGACAGTGCACCCCAAAACGTCTCACCCTGAAACTTGAAACCGCATCCGCGCTCTGCGTTCTCGCCCCACCCCCCCCCCCCCATGATCCCCCCACCAACCCATAACCCTAAACCCTCGACCCGAATCCCAAACCCACCATGAACCACAGGGGAGGAAAAGACAATTAATGATAATATAATGCTGAAGGACGTCTATAATCTCTTTAGGAGCGTGGGTTCATTCTAATCATTCACGAGGGCATAGTTTATAATTCATATGCTTCGTGAGTACAAGGATACGATTGCAGTTTTTAGAATTTAGGTTGTAGATAGAGAATGCAAGTACTATTAAAAGATTGAATGTGGAATAGAATGATCTTTCACTTTCCTCTTCTTCCCCATTTTATTAATTGTGTTCATGTGTGCGTCTGAGAGGGGGGAGCCTAACCCTAAACCCCAAGTCTCGAAGGGACAACTCCACACCGCTAAACCTTGAAGCCCAACCCTGAACCCCTAAATCCCTAAACCCACAGTCACCATGAACCATTTTGGTAGGGAAGGAGAAAAACCCTAAGCCCTCAACCCACCATGAAAGACAAGGGGAGGAGAGGAGGACGGGGGGGGCGGGGTGGGCGGGGACGAAAGA